CTCTGTTATACTTATTTTAATATTTCATTGCTATCCTTATACTTAAACAAAAGTTGTTCAGTATTGGTCTAGTTATGAAACAGGCAACTTTAATAAATTGAACAATTCAATGCATGCAAGGATGTATAATTTGAGATGATCTCGTCCCCTTCCTGAATGTTAGCTGAGACTTATAAAACAGTCTTCATGTACTGCAGGTGAAGTCCTAAAGAATATAACAATTATTAAGAATAAAACAAGAGGATTATTGGAGAAATCGTAATTAACCTGATATTTCCCAACTTGTATAACATTAATGAAATTACTGCTCTAGACTGCCCATTGTCCTGCTTACCACTTGACCATCAACTGAGGACCCCTCAGGTCTGCAGACCACACTTGGATAAGGACCTTTACTTGCACCTATTTATTTCTTATTTTTATTTTTTAAAATTTATTTATTTTTAATTGACATGTATTGATTGCACATACTTATTGGGTGTAAAGTTATATTTCAGTACATGTATATAATGTTTGACGATTCAATATGTTATGATTAAAATCAGCATATTCATCATCACAAAAATTTATCATTTCTTTGTGATGAGAGCATTTGAGAATATACAATAAAAGATTGTTAATTATAGATGCCTAGCACTACTGTAGACCACTAGAAAGTATTTTTTCCTAGCTAGCTGTGATTTTGTATCCATGAACCAATTTCTCCATCTTCCCCTTCTCCCACCCCGTCCCAGCCTCGAGTAACCACAGTTCTACTTTCTACTTCTATAAGCTCAACCTTTCTTTAGCTCCCCCATGTGAGTGAGAACATGCGGTTTTTATCTTTCTCTGCTTTGTACCTGTTTAGTCTTAGAATGATTCTGTGCTTATGAAAAATACCAGGGTGGTGCTCTGTACTCTGTTTGCTAGGACAACTCTTATTTCCTTATAGCAATATCTAAAACATTTCATAGTGCACTTTTCTTATTTCATTATCAAAGCTTATTTCAACATATTGTTTTCATCACAGGTAACTGGTTTACCTCTCCTCTTTTACTTTCGAAAAGGATACAGTGTCTATAACAATAAAGTAAGGGCGTTAGAGTACACGATTTTATCTCTAAAATTATGTGGTTCCCCTGCCTCTCCTTTATAATTAAATGATTTTTTAGTACACTCATAGTATCGTGTGTGTATATTTCATTTATCAACTGGATGCTGAGAGTTGTTTTTAAATTTTCAGATAGGCCAGTTAACTTGTATTATAGGAGTATGGTGATTTTTAGGCCAGAAGATAACGTTCAGTTAG